AAGTTATAATCTAATAAGTGGTCTACAACTTAGCTAACTTTGGCTAGCCAAAGGCTAGCTAACTAGCCACCACTCGCGCCGCGCCCTATCCCGGTCCCGGCTGCTGCCCGCGCACGTAAGCATCGTCGCAAGGAGTTGTGGAACCATAAAGTTTTCAGAAATTGACTCATGGTTCGATGACATGGCAACGGGAGGCTCGAAGAGTTGGCATCCTAGATGGTACACACGTAATATGTTGTGTCACTTAGTTGGCATCCTAGATGGTACACACGTAATATGTTGTGTCACTTAGTCCTGCGTGGCAGTTGGTTCAGTTGGACGTACGCGTGGCATCTGCATGGCTGGTGACTGTTGAGAAATTGGTGAATAGGCATGATGAATGGACACTACACTTCATGGTTTAATCGGACCGTCAGATCATGAAACAGTGCGATCCAATGGCTAGAACGTATCAGACGAAGTGGTGCACTAGTTCGTGAAATGTTACACACCCATTCAATGAGACACTTCAATCTCTATAAATAGAGACCTTTAGATTCGTTTTTTGTACACCAAATCAATTAATATATTCTTGATTTCTAAATTCGTTATCTCTCCATATTTTGCAAAAATTCCTTCAATATTTTCGTTGTTATTCTGTTTGAGTACGTTCATTCTTTGGTTCGACTGACAAGGTTGATATTGTACAATATCGATTTTGGAAGAAGCGTTGTATCTTGGGAGACAGACGTTCATAATCTCGTTTGCACGTTGTTGGGGGGGCGAAATCTGTTTTAAGAAGATTTGTTTTGGCATACCTCGCTTCATCTTCTGCTTTTATTTTCTATTATTTTTCTTTATTTTTTGATTCCAGTAGTCGAATTTCCGATAACATTGGTGAGGTTCTGAAAATGCTTGATCGAAACAGAATATAAGGTGTCATCCTTCTTATTCTTGTACGTGACATTTGAGAAATAATTCGATCCATTGCAAGTACATGTGATCGGTATCAGTAAGAGCTGATCAGGAACTAATTGAGCATTTTTTGCTATATCCAACCTGATTATTTGGAAGTAGGTGTCATCCTTCTTATTCTTGTACGTGGCATTTGAGAAATAATTCGATCCATTGCAAGTACATGTGATCGGTATCAGTAAAAGCTGATCAGGAACTAATTGAGCATTTTTTACTATATCCAACCTGATTATTTGGAAGTTGGTACAGACGTACAGTTCAGATATATTTCCAAAATTTGAATATGGTGATCTCACTCTGTATGTACCATATGTATCACATGATGGAGGCAAGTCCTTGGAGCACGTAAAATTTGTATCTGCCGTATTAGGAGATTGAGCAGTGACAATGGAGACTGAAAAGATGAGAAACAAGGAAAATACTGAGAGAAAAGAATTAACTGCCATTTCTTTGTTAAGATTGTAAGGTAACTAAGTGTATAATTATATATTTTGAGGGGACAAAGGAAAAATTGTCGGGATCTTACTAACGGTCGATACAAAAGCCAATCAACTGTCCGAAGATTATTGATGATTTAACAAAAATCTTGATAAAATAGTGCAGAGGCAATTGACTTGAGAAAACTGTCACAGTTCGACTAATCTTTTAATGCTGATTCTTTTTCTGATACAGTCTTTGGAAACAACTAAGACTAGTATATTTCAAAAAACCAGGTTTAGATTGTAAATGTTGTACTCTAGGTCTAATCAACTTTGAACATAAATACTTTTAAGGTCATTATAGTGCCTTATATGAGGACGATCATACTTTGGTATTGTTGAATGTTACTCTGCCAAAGGTCACTATTACGGCATTGTTTGGGTATGTCAAGAATCTCATGAAAGTTGTGAATGATCAATAGAAGATTCGTTACTCTTAGATAGTAAGAAATTATGATCTTCATTTCATTCAATTAAGTTAATTATGAAATCCTAGACCAATATGAACTCATGAGTCGAAAAAAGAGTTTTCGACTTACATTGACTTAATAGTGGGATGAAATATATGATTGATAATTGAGATTGACATATATCCATATCTTGTAATTGATCGGATCATATTGACGAAGGGATTATAGTTTCACAGTAAACGAATAAATTTGATTTTTTCATACCCCGTGACATTTCCAGTCACATGTATTGCTCTAACACATTACTATGTGTCAATTTGGGACAACAAATATGAATTGATGATAAATTAAAAAGGGGTATTTTGATTTATCGATTTTGATTAAATTAAAATAATAATTCACATCCTTAGGCATCGTTATCGGGAACCTGATGGTCACACACAAAAGGAAAAACAGAATAATGAGATTCCAATTAATTAATTAACAAGTGTTGTACAATTAATTATTTTGGTTGCTTGTTAATATGCCCGAATTAATTAATTGAATTAATTAATTCATGAATTGAATTTAATTAATTGGATTAATTAAATATTGGATCGGGTTAAGTTTAAGAGACTATCAAACCCACTTGAGCTTATACTAATAAGTCATTAGTGTTTCAGAACAGAATAGAGCACAATTCATATTCTTGTTAGTACGAGAAAAGACAAATCTTAATTCTCACATTCTTATTTCCTGCGTGGATTTCCATTGGAGGCTGGACAATTGGACAACTGTGGATTACAGTTCGTATTCGAGAATCAACAAAGGAGTTTACAAAATCTAAAAAATGTATAATTTCTATCACAGTTTCTATCTAAACACAAAGCAGATCCGTAGTTGAAATTGAAAAAGTAATTTATTTCTCACTGTTAAGTAAATTCCCAACATAGATGGCAACAACTCGTTCTTGCTTTTAAATTATATGTAAGAAATTAGAAGAAAGATTAGGAAAACAAATAATCGATGACTACACTAAAAATGTTGCCATGTTTGACACACATTCTTTCAAAACTCATTTTCAACCACATATTTTTCAATAAAATAATATTTTTCATTACATCAATAACTTTGTTAAGGGATATATATCTCACATCGATAAATGATGTTAACACACACCAATTAATAAAGATCTTGAGCTACTCCTCTTAACAAGGTTGACCTTTTAAGGTGGAACCCCAATTCTTAATAAACTTTTCCCTACTTTTTAACCACATATTTTATATCATATCATTATTTAAAATACATTTTTTTCTCAATAATATTTATCAAATACACCCTGTATTTTTTTTCTTAATGTCTGCATCATTTTTTGTCATTAACCTTAAATTTTGCTAGCTGGAGTAACATTTAACAATAGCACCATCCGTTTTGTCCTTTCACGTGAGGATCAAATGGAACAAGACAACAGAAGATGCCTGATAGAGCATACCCTTCGAGTTCATATCCAACCTTCAAAGCTGAGGTCCAATAAAAAAAATTCAGGTTTCTTAATGGACCTGAGAGAGAAGGATTTCATCAGCAAAAGATTCACCGAGACATATTTGTGAACAATATAAACTTCTTTTGATCGAGTCAAGTGCTGTGAGACGACTATACCAACAATGCCATAAGGTCGTAGCTGAAAAATTATCACAATCCCCTGCCTACGTGTCTTATCAGGTTAAATCAAGAACTAAATTTGAAATTTGAAAATAGTGAGGAAAAAAAGGTGATAAAATATTGGTTTCTAGGTATTTAGAGCTTGTTTGGGAGGCATTTTAATTCAATTAAAATTGAAATTATAGCTGTTATTCAGTCTCACCCGTCTAATAAAAGTCAACAATAACGACTAGTTTTTCAATTTAATCCAATTTTAATCCCTCCAAAACAAGCTCTTAGAAAGAAAACGCGAATGGATCCAAATCCAAGAGAAGGCAAATGGCTTATGGAGGTTCAGTTTTCTTGCTGATTTTTTTTTATGCAACAAAAGAAGGAAGAAATTTCAACATTTTTTTATTTCTATCTTTTCCATTGTGTTTCTTTCAGCTTAAAATCAAAACAGAGTAACAAATACACAGAAGGCTTAGTACTTGCACCAAACAAAGTCTCAAAACATTGAAATCCTTTTCCTTTTTTTAGAATAGTATGACACTAAAAGGAGAATATTTGTTTGCCTATGTCAAATATGAACATTTTGTATCCTTTTATGTATGAATATTTGACACAAAACATGAACTGGCTAATGTCAAAACTTACAAGAGAACAGCAGAAGCACTTATTCCTTTTTTAACCCCCAGCTTTTTGTCTCTGACTCTCTTTTTTTTTTTTACTCATTTAATCGTGTACAAACTAGTATGAAAAGGTCAATTTTACGAAGTCTCAGTGGAAAATCAAGAAGAAGTCAACATGGAAAGCTCCCAGTAAGCCGAATGTGATCAAGTGTTCTCTTTAAGCCGTACTTGAGCACAGCCTTATCGCCTTCTCTGAAACCATCTCCATAAGCTGTTGAAGTGTCAGACTCAATCTGATGTTTGAAAAAATCACCGAGTTCTTTCTCAAATTGAGATCGTTTGCCCTTCTTTGAAGAACCAGATGATGATGATGATGAAGCTGAGGACGAGGTGGAGGAAGATGACGATGAAGTAGAAGCTGAATTACTACCAGAACCAGCAATAATTTCAGAATCTAGCCACATATGAGCTAACACCTGGCAGATACCTTCTTCCACTTCTGGTCTTAGATTTGGGTAACCTGCAAAAGCACCGATAGTACGAGCAAAAGATATTGCGCTTATGGGGTGTTTGATAATAAGAATTGGATAGCACTAGACCATGTTAAGAAAGAAAACCAGCTAAATTATTATTCAATATAGAGTCACTTGAGGAGTTACAACGGATGCTACATAAGATAAAATCACCTTTAAGTCGCAGCCATGCGTGCATCATCTCATGAGCCAGGATGGAACCAGTCAATAACCTGAAAAGAAAAGAGGTTACTTATTTTGTCCCTGAAGTGAAATCATCGACTATTTAGAGGCAACAAAGGAAACAATGCTCACCGAGGAAGACCATACAAAATAAGAATTGCTGTCACTTCACAACGACGAACTAGCCTATAAGGTTCAGTAAACATATCTACTATCCGATGTCCACCAATTTTCGGCCGCTTCAAAATCTGGATTTTTGGGAAAAATCAGCACCAACTTCAATCTTAAAGAGAGGAAAAAAATTGACTTCACAATTTCATGTTACACATATAAAAATAAGAAGCTGCTGAAAGATATTCATACAGTGCTAACGGTCTGCTCTTCAGACAGGCAAAGTCCTCTGGTCTCGGGCATGTGATGATGACCCTGGCCACAAGACGAATATTACAAAAAAATTGGAAATTGGGGTAGAGGTACAATGGTTATAAAGCATAAACCTTACATTTTTTTCTCCTTCCATGGCTTCATTTAGGGCCTGTCTCTCAACCAAGAGCATTGGAACTTGCTGCTCCACCTTCATATTTAAACCTTCATAAAATTCTTGAATTTCAAGGTAAAGGGGTTGGCATTCATGGGTATCCATTATTGAAGAGTCCAAACACTCCAGACATAGCTTCCGCCCATCGTCAAGAATAAGATATCTAGCATCCACCGGCTGCATGGATCAGAAAATTTGACATTAATCAAAGAACTTCAAAAATATAAACCTAAAGGCTAATCTTGATAATGAATTTCCTTGTACTCAGGCTTTCTTTCTATTTTAAAACATCATTTTTCCCAACATACCTCCATTCTCTCACAGCTGCAACAGCGAGGTGTTCCATCATGCTCATGTGATGGGCAGTACTTTTGATGCCAGAATGGATGTGCCCTATACTCAATAAGACCAGCTGCATTTGTTGGGATCTAAGTTGGTTGGAAAATGATGCAGAAAGACCAAAGCTACCACGTGGTTAGTTTGGTATTCAAATAGGAACAAAACAGTTTATCTTCATTATATGCACAGTGTAACAATGTAGCCTTAATGATCAAAAGTTGAAGATGAAATTAGAGCTTCTAAAATGTCACCAAAAACTCATAAAATGTTGCTTTTTGAGTAAAGCAGCCAGTTAATTAAGATGGAATACAGTATTTTGTATAGTAATACCCGTGTTTACTTTGGAAATATATAGACGAAACAATGAAATTTGAAAGCAGTAACTACAGATCAAATGCGATACAAATGTATAGTTGATTTCCCCACTCTATTCTGAGATCAATAGACCATGATCATGTGCACTGGGCGAAGTGTCATGCTGCCTAAGCAACAAAGATGGATGGTCATAATCATGGGACTCAGCATAAAGTTTGGGTTGCGAATCATCAAATTAATATATTATTTAGTTTATCGAGTTTTCAGATTACATAGTTCCAGTCAGTCGGTACTAAGCACTTTTGATAATCATGTACTTTGATGGGCAAGAAAACAGGGTAATTATCATGCTAATGCTTACTTTGTTCATTTAAAATCTTTCTGCCTTGTACTAATCTGGCCAATACTACAAAATTTCTGGATTTTGTCATTCATTCGTTGCTCTGTCTTTCTTCTGCTGGTATGATATTTTTTTTTTCTATTTATCCATTGAGTTCAGCTAAAGGAAATCTATTAACCCAATCCGGCATTGGCATATGCTATATTAGGATTTACAAAAGGAGATCTTTCTAGTTCAATATATCCTATCGGGAAATAATTTTATTTCAGAGTTGAAAAGTCTCAATTTCAAGAATTTCCGTGGCTCAATCACTACTACAGTGGCTACTCAAGACTGTTTTCATGCAAGTTTGAACATGGTTGTTATCACTTCCTTGTACACACACCCTTTAAATAATAGCTAATGGGAATCTAAAACTGGGTAGTTCCACTGTTAGTCTAGATCCCTTCTAGAAGTTCAAAAGGAAAAGGGCAAAGCAGTTGGGGAATATTGGAACAATTTCTCATTCATTCTTCACAGCCATCATTCTCAAGTGGCATGAGCTATTAATTTAGAGAATTGGATGAGCAAATCAGAGAAATATAATCATATACTACATTATTGCTTTATAGAGAACAGATACTCACAAAATTATTGCAGACATCGCATTTGGGATGATGCTGCTCCTTATAACAGGATTTGTGGTAAGGGCGATTGTCAGACAATGAGAACTGGAATGAATATAAAAAAAAACATTTCTTAAACCTGTTTGCTAATGATTATGAAAAAAAAACTAAGTGAAATCCAGCAACTAAAAATTAATAAAATTATTTAGAACAAAAATCAGAAAGCTTCAAGTTCTTTAGGGCTTATTCTATGCCTCGTAATCGGAAATTGGCTTATTGCAAGCATGGCAACGAAAACATTCTGGATGCCAAACAGCCCCCATGCAACTCAAATATCTTCCATGACCAATATCACCATTGCATCCAGCGCAGATCCTACAATAAGAACTATATTAGGTCCAACGATGTAAGAAAAAATAGATTGAAAACAGAAGACCCAATAAAAAGAAAATTTTGTTTGGAATGCAGATATATGAACAGTTTAATCCATTGACTTCGGATGGTCAGATTATCATTATCCCTTAAATTTAGTGCTTTACATGCCTTACTTTTGAAACAAAGTCAGGTACTTCAAACCAAATGAAAATTCAAGACAATTAACATGAGACTATCTGAAAGTTTCAAATTTTCATCCATTGATTGCAGCAAATTTGAAAAATCAAAAGGAGACTGATTACCTGTACCCTGACGAATAGTAGTATGGATAAGGAGGAAAGTAACCTCCATAATCACCTCGACCTCCATAATCATATCGAGGTGGAGACTCCACGTTCAGACTTTCCTGAAGAGCCTTTGCAAGCATTTCATCTTCTTCCAAGTGAGACTGAGACTCAGTATCTGAAATCAACATGCTTTAGTTAGGAATCATCATTATAAGTTCTTGGGACTTCTTTATCCCAAAACAACCCAAATTTAAGCAGAGTGACAGTACACATAAGCTACATGGTAATGAATAAGATAGAGGCATATTGTACTTCTCAAAAATTCTTTACTTGCTCCATTTATATTTCCACAGACCTCTGTGTGGGAAGCCAAATCAATTGTCAAAATAGATGCATATATTGCTTTAAAGCCTATTTGAGAGAGACTGATAAAAAATAAAGTTATGTAATAAGTTACTGTTCCTCAGAAGAAAAATTCCGCCATTTCGTGAAGCCGGCTGTGTAAGAGTCTTATATATACTTCCCAGAACTTGATAACAAATGATCAAAGAATTTACAAGAACTCCACACATTGGGTGTTAAGTGACTCGTCCTGCTGAACTTACCAATCACTTTCTTTCCTTTCTCATCTTCTTCTTTATTTCTTTTCTCGTCTTCTTCAGCAAGAGATGAGTCTTCTTCAGCAAGACAGGCGTCTTCTTCAGCCAGAGAGGCATCTTCTTCAGCCAGAGACCGTGCAATTGCAAGATCAATTTCTTCTCTGTCAAAATCCGACCACGTATCCTACATTTCAGGCCCAAAAATACGAAGTTAGCACAAGAATAACAAAGAGAAAACTTGAATGTGCCACAACCTCGGAACATTTTCACCACATCAGATGCTGAAAATAGCTATGCGTATCGAAAAGAAATAAAACCAGTGAAGATCAATATCTAACGATGTAAAGCATTACCGTTGAAGCAGGAGGTTCTTCCCAAATCGTATCATCATCATATTTCCCATGATATTGCCCTTCGGAGAGTTTGTGACTGGAACCTTTGAAAATTTTGGTTAGCCAACCCATAATGTAAATTGCTATCCTCTTGTGGGTTGGCAATTATATCCTGCAGACTGATTGTATTCATTCGAATAAGAATCACCATAAGAAATTGGACTCCGCAAAGCAATCTTAAGCTCTTTTTTTTTCTTCCAAAAGGGGGAAATCAATGGACAAATTTCAATCAATATCTCAGATTCAAGCAATATCATGCCAGGATGATCATCGTTCTAACGAATTTCAGTCCGCCAGATAGGAAAAAATCTTCAGATTTTGAATTGAACATCTATCCAGGAATCCAAAGTAATGAATATAAAATGAAAACGCGCAGATATGACACAGAACTTCAGACAATTAACATCTACTGGAGCCAAAATTTTCCACAATTTTCAAGGAAGACTATAAATTCTCTGTGAAACAAATTCCGATCACACACAGATTCTAAAAATTTTCTACTCAAAACAACGAAATCTCAACCTCCTGACTATTCAAAATTCCAACCATTCACCAATCTCAAAACAAAAATTACCCACCTGATCATCAGGAAGAATAGATCGACTCATCTAGACTGGTAGGCTTATTCAGATTTTTGGACAAAATAACTTGTCGACAACACAAAATCCAGAAAAGAAAAAGTAAATCATGCGTCAGAGGCTCACCACAAAAAGTCGAAGAATCTGCAGAATTTCAAGGAATCTGATGAACCCCAGATCAGATAAAGAATCCAATTTCCCAGTCGAAAGCGTAGTCATTAGAAGAGGTTGAAAGCGTAGTCATTAGAAGAGAAGACACAAAAGATATCCCATTCTCCAACATATACTACATCTGACAAATCATTCCACATAAGAATAAAGAGAAAAACAAAAACTTGAAATCAATTTTGCACTCATTTTTTTCTTGACTACCAGAAGAACATTCTGGTTAAAGAAAGAAAAGTAGGCAAGTGGTACTTGAATTCTACGCAACATAGGCCAAATTAAGCAAAGCTTTTATTTTATTATCACTATTTGAGAGATTGATGATGTATGAATTTTTTATTAATATAACTTTTATTAAAGATCAAGATTATTCAAATGGGTGTTTGAATCTCTAGTACGGATATTTCAATTATGCATCTTGTACGCTGTCAGATGACAGTTCATTTATACGTAGAAATCTTAGTCATTGATTGAAAAAAGTATAGCTAAAATCAATGTTTAGATGTTTGCAATTCACACGATATCAAAGGAAATTGGAGTGCTACTTGTAGACGAGGAGCATGACCCAGGAAAATTTGTCAAATTTGATGTGCTCTGATATGGGACATTTTGTGCTTTGGCCCCATTTTTCTACCATTAGTCCACTAAATTTCAAAAACCCTTTACTGTTATAACACCTTTCCCAGTTGACAAAACGTCACAAGGGAAGGGAAGGTGACGCTCATTCAAGTAAATTTAAATAAATAAATTTTGTATTTCATGAATTTAAAATCTTGGACAAGATTTTCAAGTTGAGTGATGCTATGAGTACATAATTTTTATCCATAAGAGATCCTACTTCATGTGAATGTTATGTGAATGGCCAAAAATTATGTACAACTAGCAATATTGTTTCAGAGTTACTGTGAATATTATGGGTTGACTTGTTTACCAGGAGGGACAAATTTTTGGCTGTGATTTTTTTTTTTTTTATTATTCTTTTAAAGAATCCAAGCTCATAGATGGCCTCATGATTTTCTGTCAGGTTGTAAGTGCACATCATGCTATTAAACTGTGACAAGTAGCTAGAAATAAATAAATTTATGGGTAATGGGGTCCACTAACTGCAGCTTTGGCCCATGAGATAATTATTCTATTTTTCAGTTTTATTTCTTTATCCCGACTCAAAGGTTATTTGTACTTTTGCACCGACGGGTTCATTTATTTTATACAAAATTAGTAAAAGTATTTTCAACAATGCAGTTTCTTTTATTGGAAGTAATAATTTTCACGTTTGCACAATTGCACTTAAAGGAAAGACCCTCTAAAGAAACATTGTGTCAAAGAAGAATAGTCAAGAAATAATTGAAAGTTAGGATACAACGCACTTACCGAATTGAACGAATATACTGTTCGAAAAATTGGTTTTTATTAGTTGGTTTGATCAATTTTTGATCAATTATTTTAGTGGATCTCGATAGTTGGACAAAAAATTTCTTTGTCGAGCGTGTTCTACTTCGTGAGTAGATTAATACAATGTATTTATATTTTCAAATCTAATTTATGGTGAGTGAGAAATCAATGCCAAAAAATGACCACTTGAAATTGAAATAAATTGGAATAAAATTTGTGGGAAATTGAAAAAATGTCAATTCCACATAAGAAATTTAAAAAAGTATAAACCACTTTATATTGCTCAAGTTTGAGACTTGGGTTTGGACCCTAGGGTATCAATAGTCTTTGAATGGGAGAGAACTTACATGCTAGTAGGTTGAACTAAAGTCCGCGCGCCTCACCATCGTCATTGTCGTCCAATCGGCCGGCACGTCATGGGTCACGGTCTTGGGCTTGACTTGGATTTGGGCCAAGTTGATATATATTTTTTGGTAAAATAATATTTGAATTATATTATTATTTTGAAATTAAAATATATTTATTTATATTATTTTTTCCAATTTTTCTGTGCGTGATACGTGGATTATTCCTTCGTCCAAAATTATTCTTCCAAAATTATTCATTCGTCCTTACATTATTCATATTTTGCAATTCAGCCTCGAAAGTTATTTTCGTGCATTTTAGTCCTCAAATTTTTAGAGAGATCAAAGCGTAAGTAAGTTTTCGTCGGGTTTTGTAATTTGGAGTGCTACAATTACAAGTCGAAGTCGTTATATCTTGGGAGACGAGTGTTGAAATACCGTTAGCACCAGTGCAGGACATTATCGTTTTAAGGAGAAAGAGTCGAACTCTTGTCTCGACCATTAACATTTTATATCGTTCATTTTCCACGACGTTATTCTGCCCAAATTTATTCAGGTGATATAATTATTTGCCAACAAATTAAAATAGAGACTCGAGTTCGATCATGTAAAGAAAAACTAGTAAATAGTATTTTGAAAACTAAAAATAATAAAGCAAAGAGATAGCAGATTTATTCGGGCCCTTTCAACTTCACGATGCATTAATTATCTATCAAGATATTTCCTTGTGCTTTCTTGATATATATATATATATATACAGAAATGATCTAATGAGCACCGGTGCTCATCTTATCCTAAACACCAATGAGTTGGCACATTAATTCATTGGTGGATTGGAACTCACAAAATCTTTATCCACCAATGAATTAATGTGCCAACTCATCGGTGCTTAGGATAAGATGAGCACCGGTGCTCATTAGATCATTCCTATATATATATATATATATATATATATATATATATATATATATATATATATATATATATATATATATATATATATATATATATATATATATATATATATATATATATATATATATATATATATATATATATATATATATATATATATATATATATATATATATATATATATATATATATATATATATATATATATATATATATATATATATATATATATATATATATATATATATATATATATATATATATATATATATATATATATATATATATATATATATATATATATATATATATATATATATATATATATATATATATATATATATATATATATATATATATATATATATATATATATATATATATATATATATATATATATATATATATATATATATATATATATATATATATATATATATATATATATATATATATATATATATATATATATATATATATATATATATATATATATATATATATATATATATATATATATATATATATATATATATATATATATATATATATATATATATATATATATATATATATATATATATATATATATATATATATATATATATATATATATATATATATATATATATATATATATATATACTAGGTGCAAGCAACGTGCAATGCACGTTTGCCTAGTTTATATTTAATAGTTTTGTTTAAGAATTAATTTGTTATTAATAAAGATGTAATTTTTTTGGTTAATTAAATAATTAATGATGTAATGTTTATGTAATTGATAAATAATTAGATGTGTGATTTTGATGTTGTGATGTAAGTTGGTGAGATCGAAGAAAATAAGCAAAAGTTGACAAATTTGGAGAAATGGCTAAATTGTAAGGGATCCAAAGTTCGGGGACTAAAATGTAAATACTTAAAAGTTGTGCCGAACCTCACGATGAAGATTTGAGAGTGCTCGGAGTCAATTGGATAAAGGAAGACGTCAATGGAATCAAATTTAGTCAAAAGATGATCACAAATCAATTTCCAACCGAAAAGTTATGCTCCGGTGTTTTAGTCTCATATTGAGACCTATTTTTGACATAGAAAGTGATCGAATTGGAGAATGATGTCTGAATCAAAGTTGTATTCAGATGAGTTAGCTTCCTAACGCATTTTGAATCGCCTCAATCGGATATCGGAATACAAAGTTATGATAAAAACACTGAAAGAATGTGTAGTTGTATGTTTAAAATAAGAAATTCCGTTACATAATCTGTTAAAACAACAAATTCCGTTAGTTTTTCCGTTAAACCAACAAATGCCGTTAAATAGACACTTTTTATATATAGAAAGATATATATAAGAGTAATGCTATTCATCCCCACTGGGGATGAAAATACAGTCTACATGGCGTTAATGTGGCATTAAATGATAGGTGAAATTAAATAAGTCATTTAATCTAATACCACATAAACTGTATTTTCATCCCCACTGGGGATGAATAACATTACTCTATATATAATGGTCCATTTATGCAACATTAATGCATCAATTATGTCCAAACAAAGAAATTAAACCATAATCCAACTACGGGAATTTAATTGTGCATTTTCCTCTTACTTACTTTTTTATAAAAGTAGTTAGGTCTAGAAAAGTCAGTTCCGCGTTGTGCATGCCACATTGGAAAAAAGCT